ACAAAGTTGTATATAATGTTGGATAAAATACCATAATTTATACCTGCAAGATTTTCTTTATCTGAATCAGAATCTATTATTTGTATTTTTTTCTGAACTATGCGTTTGGTCAGGCAAGCAACTGGTGTATCATCACTATCAATAGATTTATTTCTGTAAACAAATATTTATAAGAAAATGTTCATCTTCGTTGATATTTTTTAATAATATAAATTCAACATGTAATTATATTTATTATATATAATTCAACACATTATATTATTAGTAATAAATTACATAGTATAATAAAATTATGTTTAAAACATATTTTAAAAAAAAGCAAGGACATTTTTTAATAAGAACAAAGTGTAATACTTGTAAACAAAGTATTAAAATAAGAATGATAGATATGGAAATATAAATAACATAATATATAAAGAAATATAATTATATGAAATAAGGAAGAGAGAAACAATAAGAATAAAAAAAAAATATATAGAAAAGTGGTGAATGAATATGTATGCTATTTGAAAATTCAAGTAAGCATTACAAAAGATTAGAGATTCCGAATGTATCACAGAGAATAACATAAATAAATCATGTATTTTTTATATCAAGTGAGATAAGGACTTGCAAAAATAATTCTACAGATAATAGATTCTAGCAAAAATAATTCTAAGGATAAAAATTTTTTAAAAATATATGAATAAAATAGAGATAAACAAGTCTTTTGTAACTTCTTGTGCTAAATAAGCAGAATAACAATATATATTTATAATTTTTTTATATATAGAAAATTTTTTTTATATTTAAATATTTGTTTTATATTTAAATATTCAAAAAAATCGATCTTGAAGATTCGCTAGATACACGCGTGCACTTTTAAAAAGTTTAATATTGTTTATTTCTTCCTTAAATAGAATTCCTATCTCTGCGCGCGATCTAAACGGATTTCTAAACGGATTTTGATTTTTATCCTTGTTCTTATTTATCAGAATCCATTTATCAGTCTATGAAAATATCTCAATAATCAAATATAGCAATGGACAAAGCGCCCATAGCGGATTTTCAAAAAAAGAGAGAGAGGGTGAGGAGGAGGAGAGAGGGGAGAGGGGAGAAGGGAGAGGGTGGGTGGTAGGGAGGGAGGGGGGAAGAGAGAGAGAGCGCGAGTGATTTTAATATTGTATATTTCTTCTTTAAATAGTATTCCTATTCTCTTGCGCGCGATCATGAATTTCTAAATATTTTGATTTGTGTTACTTATTTTATAGTCCTTGTTCTTAGTTATCAGTCTATGAAAACATCTCAATAATCAAATGTAGCAACGGACAATGGCCTTGGCGGATTTTCAAAGTCGATCAAAGACGAATTCTTTACCAAAAGAAAAATTATTTTATACTTTACATTACATATGTCTCGATTGCATTAATGATCACTGACAATAAGATCAACGAGGCACAGGAGTAATATTCCGATTTTACAGTTTCGCTGAAATTATATAATAAATCTGTGATATGTAATCCCATTTTGTGAATTTATCTTTTTCGATATTACTTTTGCACAAGAAAATATATAAGAACACTATTCAAAAAAGAAATAAACAGTATTAAACCTTAAAAGTGCACGCTTGTATCTGGCGAATCTTCAAGATTGATTTTCTCGAATAAGCAAATATTTAAATAAAAAATTTTCTATTTATAAAAAAAAATTATAAATTTATTCTTATGTCAATATTCTCGCGGTCTCTTTGTCACAAACGTCAACAAATATCATTCTCGCGTAACAATTAGGATTTGACAAAATAATAACAGTTGACGAAATACTCACTTTTTTGGCGTCGAGTTATCCAGAAAATCTTCGTCGTAACTCTCATCGATGACAAACGCACGTGTATCAAGCGCCGCAGTAGCGGAACTTTCGACGACGTCCTCCTCATCACTGTCAGAAATAACGAGGGAATCGTCGTTTAATCGGTAACTTGAATCGTCCCAGTGTTTAGAATTCTGCTCCATTGTTCACGATTAAAGACTGCACTGTTCACGACTCGAATATCTTGGCTTATAATCTAGCCGCCTTGTTATGGTGTCGTCGATTTCTAATACTATGACTATCGGTCTTGTTCGCTTCTTGTTTTGCCGACAACTTGTTACAAACTCGCACCTCGCACGCCTCGCACCGTCTTTATACTCGGAAACGCAATTGAGTTTTGAATCTGCTGCCAATTGCCAACTGCCAACCATGGCTTATATTCGGGACATATACCATGATTGACATGATTCGCTTCATTTGACATTATAAAAGTTTTGAACTGTTTAATTGACCAATCAGAAGAAAGAGATTTTGACATCTTCGTCCTGATTGGTCAATCGAGGAAGACCATGGAAGTTCTCAGTCTATGTTTCACATATTTTCAGTTATAATTGGAATGATACAAATTCTCTGTCGGTAATACAGATTTCTATATTTAGAAATATATATATTATCACGCATATATAAGTACATATATGATAGTGTGCCTGCAGTCATCTGTAATATATATATGATTATTGCATAAAAAATGTTAAAATATTATTTTTGATAACTAAATTGATTCCAAAAAAAAAGTACGTAAATTTATAATGGAATAAGGTATTTATTAATAATGGCAGCTCTAATGAAGAAACGAGTGTTAGCTGAATTCACTCAGAGCCAGGTAATAAGATAGTATATCATATATTTCTTTCCCTTCATAAAATATAAATAAATTATCATTTTTTTAATGAACCACAAAATGTTTATCTAGGTTATAAATGAACCTCCAACTAAACGGTTAAAAACTCTAAGGCTATTGTCAACAAGTGGTACAAAGAACACTACCGAAGGCAGTTCAGCATTAGCTTATATAGAGTGTCTTGAGAAATGTAAGAGTGGAAATGATGCATTACAATTGCTTGTTCGTATCTCGGATTCTATAACATATATAGCACCTGAGGATGTTCCTATAGCTATAAAAAAGCTAACAGAAAGATTTATTGTTGAGAATGAAGCTGCAGTTCGAGCTAAGATTTTTTGGGTGTTTGCTGAATTAGGAGAAGTGACACCAGATACAGTGGAAAAAGCAAAAATTGTAAATGAAACAGCTGAACTTTTAAGAAATGAGGAATCACATAGAGTAAAGAGTCAGGGATTAGCAACACTATTAAAATTGGGAGATTATCAAAGGTATATAATTTCTTATCTCGTATCTTATATGTTTTCCATCTTTTTTAGATTTTTTAAAAAATAATTGTCATGTATATGCAATTAAAACTTGTCTAAATTAAAAAAAAGACATTAATAAGTTGATAAAAGCAAGTATTTTGTATTTTTTTTTTTTTCAGAGCACTTGTATTGAAAATTGCACAGGATCATTTGCCTGATACATGGCATGGCGTTCAAACACGATGTCTTTCCATCATTGGACGTTATCTAACAGCGAACGCTGCTGATGATATTTTAACATTAATTGGCAATTATGCTCGTTCTCAAGATCCAAGAGTTCGTGCTCAAGCTTTTGAAACCATGGCAGAATTGCATTCTCACAGAGGTTGTAGACTTCCGGCAAGTTTCTTTAGGGAAGCATGTGCAGCTCTTCGGGATGATTATGAAATTGTACGCAGAGTTGTTTTGAAACTTATCTGGCTTTTGGGCAAGGAATATCCAGAAAAGTCAGTAACATAGAGATATAAATATATTCAAAAAATAAATTTTTATTATAAACTCTTTTACATACTCTTGCAGTATTGTTGTTGGATCTGATGGAGAAGATATACGTATGGTGGATTGTGCTTTTTCGCAAATTTGTAGTCTCATGGGTGATTTATCACCTCGTGTGAGAGCTTCAGCAATGTCCCTTTTAGGAACAATGAAAAGTGTATCGCGTCGTTACATAGAACAAGCACTAGATAAAAAACAAAAAATAGTCGAAACAGATAGATCTGAAGTTGAAGAAAAAAGTGGATCTTGTGGGGCATTTATTCATGGTTTAGAAGATGAATTTTTAGAGGTATAAATTACTCAGTACAATATATAATACCGTTTTGTTCATCATCCAGTTAAAAGCTTTTTATTGATGTTTTAAAAGCTTTTATTTATGTTTTAAACAATTGCATAACTGAGAATTTGTTACTCAATTAAATTTTATTGCATCTATTTTTCTATGATCGCTTTTTATATTTATTATTCTTTGTAAATAAACTTTATTTTAGGTAAGAACTGCAGCGGTTGAAGCACTCTGCACGCTTTCATTAGAACAGCCGAGTATAGCAAGAGTTTCATTAGACTTTATGGTGGATATGTTCAATGATGAAATTCAAGACGTTAGATTAAGAGCTATCGAATCTTTAAGGAAAATGTCGACAAGCGTGACTCTACGAGAAGATCAATTGGAAACAATTTTAGGCGCGTTGGAAGATTTCTCGGGAGAAGTGAGAGAAGGTCTGCACGCTATGCTAGCCGCGAGTCACCTCGCCACCACAAATTGTCTTTATATGTGTGTTAATCGTTTGCTGGACAATTTGACTCGTTATCCTCAAGATAGAGAAAGCATTAGGAGTTGTTTGGCAGCATTAGGCGCGTCACATCCATACTTAACGTTGCCTCTAGTACCGCAACTTCTCGGCCGACATCCTTTCTTCGACACACCCGAACCAGATGTGGATGAACCGTCCTGTATCCTCTTTTTTATTTTTACGGCGCGAATATTATCTTAGATTTTAAAGTTGTGTGTGCATTCGATATCCTTAACTTTTTTATAACAGATGCAAGTGTGCTCGTTTTAATATTCAATGCCGCGTTACATTGTCCAAGTATGCACGCCCTATTTACAGAACATGCTTCCAAGCATTATCACTATTTGCGCGATACTATGCCGCATCTAGTTCCACGATTACGGCCAGCACTTACGAGCGGATCAGGGATTAAAATGGAAGATATGGATAACGAGGAGAATATAGATCAACGTGGTCGAGAGTTTTTGGAGAAAATGGTAGCTGGAATTGAGAATGCCAGACCAGGAGGCAGAGTTCACACACAGCTTTTGGAAGCTGCGGCAATTGATCTTGATCGCTTAGCAGAAATGGATCATCACATGGAAGGTGCAGCACGTTTCACTGCACTATACATTCGATGTCTGCTATTATTAAAATCCATTCTCAAAGAGTTTTCTGTTTCATCGGGGACGTCTATCTCGGCTAATCCAATACCGAATACTAGCAACAACATTTCCGTTCTTCTTCAACACGCGCAAAAGTACGTATTCTCAATACACATTCAGAAAATCGTTTTGTTATGCTATATAAAGAATTTTAATATAATAAATAAAATTTTATTCAGTTATGCTTACGTCATTTTTGAAAAAATTTTTTTTCTAGATTACAACGTTTATTTAGTGGATTGGGCGAAACTGAAATTATATTGGCTAATGATATGTGGTTGAAAGCACTCTCTATAGAATTAGTTAGGGTGACCAAGAGCGCGACCGGTAGCGCGTTACCACTGGCTCGTCATTTTCTATCAGAAGCTGACGCTTTGCCTCAAGATACGTCGAGACTACCACTGTTTTCCAAAGCTCTGGTTTTACAGATCCCTAGTCTAGCCGACGTAAAGCCAGGTTCCTTGACGCGGCTCTTGCTACCATTGCTCTTGACGCCGATGGCGCAAGGAGATGAAAGATTGCCAAGACCATCGGCAACAACGCGCTTTTGTCGAGCGCATATCGAGGAACCAAGGGGCGACGCCGATGCCGCGCTAAAATTCACAGGCGGTCTCTTATTGGGAATTCCTCTGAATGCAAAGATATTGAATCTACGCGATCCGGCTACGCTGCGAATAAAGCTGAGACACCCGGATCAACAAGTGCAATTATTGTTACCGCGGCAGTCGGATTTGCGTATGCAGCATTCCGATCAGAAAGATTACAGATTAAGGACGACAGTTCTTTTATCACATCAAGTATGGATGGAGCCTTGTAATGTAGAAATCTCCCTAGCACTACTGGTACCATCGTCTTCGATTTGTACACATCCGCCTTTAGATGATCCATGCGTGATTGATCTATGTAAACCTACTAAGGTATCAATTGCACCGAAAGCCATCAAAAGAGGCATATGATTACATCATTATTACAATAATCATCTGTATACTTCTCTTTTCGATAGTTTATTTTGTACATGTCTTTATAGATTAAAATTTAATATTTTACTGTTTTTCACTTGAGTGGGAAATAGCAATAAAAAGTATAAGATTATAATTGCCTTTTATCATTCCTTCTCGCTTAACATAAATGATCAAATGGCCCTTGCTCGTCTAAGTTCAAATTATAATATTACTTAATCGATTATTTTTTCAATGTGAATGATATTTTATTATAAAACCTAATTTTGTTCTCATTTATTACAATAGTACAAGATATATATAGAAGAGCACATTTTTTTCCATAAAAAGTTTCATTTTTCTGAATATAAAACAATATGCACACAATTTGTAATTATATCATTCTTGGCTCCTATTGTGAATGATATATAACAATTTTTAAAATAAGTTTGCCGCGCGATCGTACTTTATTCACCTCCAACTAGAGAACGAGCTGCCGCTGAAATAAAATAATTGTTATTTGTTATTTGCTGTTTGTATTTGTTATTTGCATTTTCATATGTATGTTTCTTCTTTTTCAATTATCAATATTAATTATTAGTATCAATTTATGTAATCAATTCAAAACTTATTGATATAAATACTACATACGCAGTGAATGCAGGTTTCTCTGGTTCTGGATTCTTTTGAGCTAAGCTACCAAAACTGAGACCATCTGATTGATTGGCTAAAGATTCAAACGTACTACTGCCTGCTACTTCTCCGAATAACTTCGGCATATTTTCCATTGTAGAACTACCTTGCATAACGGATGAGCTTCCAAAATCTATTTATAATATTTCTTTTTTATTATGACAGGTATGCAGAATAATGTAATCAACTATCTGATATTTGGAACTAAAATTTTTGTGTAATAAAATTAAATAAGAACATCATATATACATTTTAGTTGGTTTCAAAAGAACTAATAATAAGAATTTTTCCTCTCTTTCTCTCTTTCAATCATATAAAAATATTTAAAGATAGGAATGTAAAAAAGAACTGTTATGTATTTGCGTGTATATATAAATAATTTTGTGAATATTATATTAGTATGAGTTACACACATACACACACAGATATTTACCTATGCTAGGAGATTCAAACGCAGGGGCTGAGCCGAAACCACTTCCGAAGACAGACTTCGACGCTCCGAAGATAGGTGATGGTCCAAAGACCGGTTTGGTGCCGAAAGTAGAAGTCTGTCCAAAAGCGGGTTGATTAGCGCCAAGTACAGGTTGCTGTATCGGAGACGCATTAGGTATCGTAGACCTGAAGACATTGGTGTTCGTGGCGGAAGTACCGACTATCGGAGATGCGTTACTCGTCGCGTTACCAAATGGAGAAGTAGATGGAGATGTGTTTGCTGCCCCGAACATTATACCAGATTTCGGAGTACCGGTGTCGAATATAGTTCCCGGTGGAGCTGATGCACCGAATCCTGTCGCATTACCGCCAAAGATATTTCCGCTCGGAGGAGATAACGGAGTTGATCCAAAGACGGAATTGCTGTTGCCTCCGAACATAGAGGTGTTTGAAGATGTTGGAGCGGATACATTAGAAAACACGGAGCTCGCGGTATTACCGAACGGCGTTGACGCGGGATTAATTATTGGCTTTGCGAAGACATTCAGCGCAGATGACGCAGATATCTGAACGCTCGGGAATTGTGCGTTCGATACCGGAGATACTATCGGGCTGCTTTTACCGAATGCCGGCGTAATCGAAGCTGCTGCTACCACTGACCCCGCCGCTGTCGTTGTCGTCGTTACTGTAGAAATGCCGAATGGGATTGTGCCCGCAGAGGTACTACTAGAGCTAATTCCGTAATTCGTGGCTGGTATACTAACGGCTGTAGTTTCACCAAACGTTGGTTTACTGAGGGAGCTCTGGAAAGGAGACGGGGTGCTGCTGCTTACAGATGTTACTGATGAAGAAGTGACAGTAATACCGGCGGACGTGTTTGATGTGAATCCACTGAATACTGATGTGGTCGATGCCGGAGTTAACGTTCCAAATGTAGGTGTAATCGATGGAAAAGCGACTGCACCAAAAGTAGTTGTAGCAGGCAGTGTCGTAGTCGTCACTTCTGGAACCGTAGCCGTATTCTTTATGATAGCTTGACCACCAAATATCGATGTCGCGGATAACGAAGTTGGAGGAACCTGAGTAGCTATAGGCCCAAAATTAAGTGTTTTTGCTTCAGACGTGGTAATCTTCTCAATGGTGACCGGGCTGATGGATGGCATCTCCATTGATTTACGTTGAGTGATGCTCGGATCTACAAGGCTGATAGTAAGCCCGCCGATAGTTGTAACAACGGCACTCATTGTGGGAACCTGCGTTGTTATAGCAGGAGCAAGTGCAGCAAAACTCATAGAAGTCGCGATTGCATTTACCTTTCCATCAACATTGTTGCTCGAATGATTCGTCGGTTGAAGAGTCAACGACAGAGCCGATAGATCAATCGGCGTTTGCATCGGTGCTTGAATTGGTGTTACGGACGGTTCCACAGTGGTATTGGATTTCGAATAAGCGAAGGACAGGGTTGTCGTGTCGAGCGCAATTCCAGAGGATGAATTTTTCGTAACAGATGGAACTGCGTTAGGTGTAGCGAAACTGAATGTAGCAGCAGCAACAGTATCCGTTTTCACGGCTTGTGTTACGGAGAGTGATGAAAGATTACGAACAATTCCTATACGAGCAGTATCTGTTAACGGATATTCCGTTGATAATACATCCTTTAACATACCGGTCGATAAGGAGGATAAAGCGGATTCCGGGGCTTTAGGGATGCTATCGTTGATCGTAGATTCCTTATTGCTTCTGGCAGTTGCATCTGTAAGTGGGGATTTTTGAAAAATGATATCTTGAGATTTTAGCGGTGTTCCAAACGTAATAGACGACGGAAAGTTAACATTAAGATCTTGTTTCGGTTTGGATTGAGATACTATGGAAGTTGCTGGTAAAATAGCCTTCTTGTCTGTTTGTTTGACAGACATCGCGGGAGAAAAAGAGATGGTTGTAGGAAGTGGCTTTTGCTGAGTTTTGTTCTGGGTAATAATACTATTGTTCGTATCAGATGAACCGATTCTCGCAACGATACTATTTAACGAAGCGAGGGGACTTTGTGCCTTGATCTGCTTCTCGATTACTGTCTGCTGCTTGACGACGGTACTTTGTTTAACAATCGATGATTCGGTCTTGGTCTTAGCCTCAGTGACCGCAGGACTGAGAGACGCTAAGGAAGACAGTGTGGCTTTTAAGCGATCTTGAATTGGTGAAGGATTCACCGGCTTGATAATTCTCGGGAAGTATTCGGTGAGTAATATCTTTAACTTAAGTTGCTTGTCATGTGTAAAACTTAGAGTCCTCGAGGCGATAGTTTTACAGCGAGCGTCAATAACGTCGGTTTTTCGAATAGCCGACGATTTCTCATGCGAATTCAAATGCAGATTCGCCATCGAACGATTAAGACTGGGTACATTACCGGTTGTGCATAGCAATGAACGATTAAGAGACTTCCATTGTCGCGAAATTTGCTCGAGCTTCTCTTTTTCTTTCGCAATAATCTTGTTATGTAGCAGGAGATTCTGATATACATACTCTAAACTGGGAATTTTCATTTTCGATCTCTCCTGTGCTTTATGCTCCGACCATTCCAGATCCAAAATTTTACTAACCTGGTTGAGTTGTGTCTGTGTATAATAATAACATCGTTGCAGATCCGCTATTTTGCTGTTATCGCTACAATTTCTACCAGTGATATCAGCACTAGCTGCATTTTTTGATTTAGTTTCTTCGACCCATGCGAATGACTGAAGTAACAGAGCTTTCAAGTAAGTTATATCACTGGATAAACTATTAGTAGTTTCTTTTAAATCCCTTAAGAATTGTTCTATGACGGCGGATGTCTCTCCAAGTCGTTTCTTTTCTTCGTCCATACCGCATTCCCATACTTGTGGCTCCAATCTATTTCGTAATTCTTTCTCGAACAACGCTTGCTCCTGCAAATAAGCTCGCATCCGTATACTATCGTCTATGGAAGCTTTCTGTTCCACCATTTGCGGTATGCTTGCTTCTTTATCTACCACCACTAATTTGGTTTCTGTTTTTGTAGATTCTGGCGCTGGTATTTCTCTGGGCACAATGGGCTTTGTGATCGCGAGTGGCACATCTTTTTCTTCTTGCGGCTTCGGTTGTATCACGAGCTGTTCTACGGGTTGTTGAAAGAATCCCGCTGCTTTCAGAGAATCGCCAAATATATTCGTCATCGGAACGGACTTTGATCGTTCAGACATAATCTCTGGTTGCTTCGGACGTGGCGTGCTGGTCACCGCAGCGTTCATAGTAAATGATATTTCCGCGGATGAAGTATTAGGTTGCGACGGTATTGGTGCCGAGATAATCTCCGTAGGATGTATATTGATGGCAGGACAGTTCAGTGTCAAATTGACCATGTGAAAGCTGCATAATTGCCCAGATGTTCCAAGAATGTGTAAAATGGGAACTGGATGTGGCAACATGGAATCTGTACCCCATGGTAATTTGTTAATTGGGGACTTGTCCACAGCTAGACCCATAGGATAAATTTCCGTGGTTCTCATCAGAGGCAATTGAGCCCTACCGCTGTCAACCAATTGCCATTGAATCCAATTCGCGCTTCCATCTGTAGTACCTAATACAGCTATCTCACTACTGGTACTACTACCTGCTATGATAAGTCCCCATTCCGGCACATGCTCGAAATAATAACGAAGAATACTTCCTTCTCCCTCGGCGTCAGGAAAACCATATGTGATATCTTCATAACATGTAAATGTAGCGTTTACTTCCCCTTTTGGTGCGTCGATGATGAGAACATTTGTGTGTCGCTCGCTGTTCACATATGCGGCACAGAATTGATAATTACTGATCCACAAGATACTAATCACTTCTCCGATAGACGGCGAGGGACCCGCGATAGTTCTAGCAATCTTCAAGGTATCTGGTTTTAGTTGTACAATATCTCCATTTTTGCAACCGACTGCTATTTGTTTGCCTTTAGGACTCCAGGCTGCGCACAAAGCTTGTGGTTCGCTCGATATTTTGGAAAGTATAGATATTTTTGATACAGAATTTTCTTCATCTACCCTTAATTGGAAACTGCCAATAGTACAATCACTAGTGACAGTGCAAAGCATTGTAGGTACAGTAGGGTTCCATCTTATATCTGTCACATAACTATCTAGCTTGTTTGATGATGTTATTTCAAGTAAGAGGGTAAGACTCTGAAAATTAATATATTGATTAATAATAAAAAAATTCAATTTCTAAATATTTCTATAATATCGTAATAAATTTAAAAGTTTTAAGACTTTTGAAAAAATATGCTACGTGCGTACATTTCTAGCTAGAGAATAGGCATCATATATCAATATTGTAGGCTTCAGTGCTACTGCTACAGCAATATAATTATAATCACAATTAATTGCAATTTTTGATATAACGCCTGGTAATTGAAGTTCTATCTTCCATTCTGCATTATTCTCCTCTGCTGGTTTTAAGACAGTAATTTTATCATCATGTCCTATATAAAGCAATCCTCGTTTTTTGTCGGCCACAAGAAGATTACAAGCGATAGGAATATATGTGGGGGTTTTCAAATCAAATACTTGAGATATATTTGATTGTTTAAATAGAAATTCCTAAAATATAAAAACAATAATTAATAATTGTTGAATATCATGATAATCATTTATATATATACACTTTACAGAACTTAAATTCGTGCAATATTTGATTTTTATGTATCGGAAACTGACATTGCTTCAACTTTTTAAAGATCACTTATTTATTGCATTTGAGAACTTTGTTAAGCAACAAAATGATATATATATTATCTTACATAATCTAATTGATCCAAAATCTCGACATTTTAAAGATTATTATGTCGTTTATATAAAAAATGTGTATTATACTTTTATAATCGACGAAAAAGTAATTTATTTCGTAAGAGAAAACGAGTAAAAAGAATATAAAATAGATAATTGTGAATATATAGTTGCGTGTGGTATGATTTTCAATAAAAGTGATATTCAATATAAACATTCTCTCGCCGGTTGTACTACGATCTATTAAACAATTTCTGATATAATAAAATGACACATGATACCTGTACATATATTGGATCCAGCGCTGTCTTCATTTTTATATGTTTTACAATGTCTTCTCATAAATAATGAATGATAGCAATAAATAAGATCAACGTATATCCAACACAGAGTACACGTTTTAACCAAATTTCAATAGACTCAACAAGCACTAAAATACAATTTGCATGATAGCATCATAACATTTTGGATTACGAGAATATAAAATGATCGCGCATTCACAGTGAGTAAAGGATGCATTCCACTTGCGTTAAGCCCGTATCAGACTACGCATTGAAAATTGAAGATTGAAGATTATGGCCGGTATTCATAGTCCGTTCTTATATCCAAGATCGTCTTAAGTACGATCTTAAGATACTATGCGGCCATTTCATTGGTTGAATGGGATCTTAAGACGACCCAAGACCACACTTAAGACGATCTTGGATATAAGAACGGACTATGAATACCGGCCATAGATTCTAGGCTGAAATTAGATTCTGCGCAATTTTCTGCGCAGACGCTCGACGCTTA